GGATACGTTTTTACATACCGGTCGGGATATGCTTGCTCATGTTTTTATGATGGTAAATTCTTAAGGTTAAAAAGTTGAAAGCCAGTATATTGTGGAACCCATTATTATTGGTATTATACAATACCTTAAATAAGAGTAGAGGGAATAAAAGAAGTAAAAGNAAAGGGAGTAAAAGACTAAAAGGAGTAAAGGGAGTAAAAGACTAAAAGGAGTAAAGGGAGTAAAAGACTAAAAGGAGTAAAGGGAGTAAAAGACTAAAAGGAGTAAAGGGAGTAAAAGACTAAAAGGAGTAAAGGGAGTAAAAGACTAAAAGGAGTAAAGGGAGTAAAAGACTAAAAGGAGTAAAGGGAGTAAAAGACTAAAAGGAGTAAAGGGAGTAAAAGACTAAAAGGAGTAAAGGGAGTAAAAGACTAAGAACTAAGTAAGCGACTAAAGGCAGTAAAACAGTTAACGGAGCATAAGTGTGACAGATATAAAAGTACGAAAGTATGATAAGACTAGTAAATTAAAATAAGATCTGTAGACTCGGATGTAGGCTAAGAATATCTCGGGACAAACTTTGTACCGTCTCCCAGCCCTCTGTAAAAGATATGTAAACATGGAAAAAGCCGAACGTTTATTTTTAGCCGAGAAAAAGGAATATAACAATGTAAATAAAGTATTCTATTGTTCACTTTGTTTGTTAGGGAAAAATTCAAATTTTGTAAAAAAACGCGTGTAATAAAAAGTTTCCAATCATCGTATAGATGTAATCTGATGGTATCGATGTTGGTCAAAACATTTTTCGTGAAAGCCTGAAATGGTATGGCCAGTTTCAGAAAACATTTTGGACAACCGTCCTTTTTTAAAAGAAGAAGAAAATGCAGCTTTCATCTCGACAGCACTTCCCAATTCAAATCTCAACCTGTTTGATTCTAAACTCCTTGACTTAGAAGTGTTTGTAGAGGACGGGGGCGATCATTTAATGGAACCGGCCCCTGCCTGGATTCCATCGACACATACATGGCTAGATGCAGAAAGAACAGGAGAACATTTCTAGCCACTCGGGAGACCTTAGAAATGCTCTCAGAAAAAACTAGGTCGAATTTACTGTAACCAAAGTTCTACTCTTCTTTGCTCAACGATGACGATCCTGTGCTCCACACTTGTCCACTAGCCACGACGATACATATACCATTCGATAGAGACTTTTCCGCGCTACAATTTCATATATACAAGGTAGTGAAAAAAGTGTCCTTGACATTACAATATAAAAGCGAAGTACGTGTTGATCTTACTGATTTGAGTCACAATGGAAACAAAATAAAAAAAAACAACTTCGGGGTCTGATTGTCGAGAAAAGATTGATGTAAGATAGAATCTGAGAGAAAACCGATCAATATGACGAAGGTCAGCTGCTGAAAAATTTTAGATTCTGAATTTGACTAGTTGGTTCGAATGTAGCCTATAAAAGGTTACTACGAAAATCCCAATATCACCCCATGGACAATTAAATTTCTGACGAGCAAGGACACCGAAGAGAAAAGTACAGTGTAATAGAAATGTATATCTGATAAGTTTATTATCAAAACTATTATTGCATCTCTTAAGGCCCCCCTCTAGGCCACAAACCTATCTCAGCCCAAGTAGGTCTGATCTGAACCAAACTTTGGGGAATGTTGACCGTATCAGAGAGTGGTAGCGAAAGTTTTTTTTGGTCCCACTGGTAACTGTTCGTGAGAGGGCACCACAACAAGGGTCAAACATAGGCCCCGCACAAGAATTCTCGTTCCAGATAATTGATAGAGGGCTCGAGCTGTTTTCCTTTTAAATTCCGAACTGTTCGCTGTTTAAAACCGACAGCGTCGGAACTTTGAATTGCATTTGATGTTTAATGCAAATATACCAAAAGATGCAGCACGTTCCGGGCTTTCTTCCTATATATAGCAGGTTAATAAATAAAAGAAGTATAGCAATAAAAACAAAAAAATATCAAGGGAGAAAACCAATTGAGGTGCACTGTATATGTGTGGTAATGAATTATGAACAAAATTTTCATGAGTCATATTTATATCAACCGAGTAGGCCAAGATATAACTCGTAAAAAACGTTTTTAAAAATGACTTTTTCATGAAATTTCTTCATACAAAAGACTAGAAATAGTTCAAACAAATGCTTTTTACAAAAAGGTTTTCTAAAGTTAAGAGTGAGCCAATTTACGACCAAATATGCTTCGAGCCTCCTTTACGTTGACAGGCCACATGCGCACATTTGTAAAAATCTTTTATCCCAAGCCAGCACTGGTAAAGAAAGAATATATTTGCATCGGTCCCTTAGCCAGTTTTGTAAGAACGACTAAAATTAAAAAGCTTTACATTTTGTGAGCTTCTATTTTCATTGGATAACTAAGAGTTTTTTCTATTGAAGAGTGAAAAGAAATTTTCATTGCTAAAGGGTTTGGGAACCTTTTCTTATAGAAATGCAGAGGTCTGAACAGTGGCGGCGCAAGGTCAGTTTTTCAGGGGAAGCAATAAACTTTAAAATGAAATTACGTTCGCTATAGTCCCTTTCTCTCTGTTCGCATAGTACACAATTTTGAGGAAGCAATAAAAGTTTATTGCTTCCCCCAAGTTTTTTTAGGGGAAGCAATTGCTAACCCGTTGCTTGCTGGTGCGCCGCCACTGCGGTCTGAAAGATTTTTCTGTAGTTCCAAGAGCTGAACAGTTAGGATTTTTGGTTTTGCAACGATTTGACAGCAAACAGTAAATTCAAACAGCGCTAAAACGCACTTTCTACATGTTAAACATATGAATTTGGCTGTTGTTTAGAGAAATCGACTATATTATATCTTTTAGTCCAATAAAAGCTTTTTAACACAAGCTAACGAGATCAGTAATAATTAATTTCGAAATATGTGTTGTAAATGTTTGCGTTTTTATTCTATCGACGCTAATAAACATACATGACTTATTTGACGAAAGAATAGTATTTCATTAGACTTAGATTTTACGAATCGAACCAAAACAGTCAACGTGACAGTCAGCGTGTAATTTCTCTAACCAAAGCGACATCAGATACTAATTCACATGTTCCATAAAAGGAAAGTGGCTTTTTCTACGATTTTCAGTTATTGTTTCGTTTTATGTGACCCCAAGTGAAGGTGGTCCTTTGCAAGCGAGATTCAAAATGACTTATTAATGATAAATACATAAAAAATTTGCTTTATCATTATTTAATATCTTTATTATGTTTTTATTTAGTTTATATCAAACGAAAATGATCTTCGTATGGCTGAAATCCGTTTGAAACTATCGGAACATACAACAAAACAAAAACAACTCGATTTAGAATTGGAATGTGTTAAGAGGCAAACAGTAGAACATATACTAACAACAACAAATCGATCATTATTGTCTCTATCTTTATCATCACCACAAAGTTCCGATAATTTAACTGACTTAGCTTATTATAGTGATTTTTTAAATAATAGAATAAAAATATTAGACATTAGTTCTTTTGAAAACCAATCAATTCATAATTCATAACCACACATACAGCGCACCTCAATTGAATTTTTTATTATTAGGTTGAAACAGCCTGAAAACGCTAATTTTTGTAAAACTGACTTTTCCGGAGAGTTTTAAAACTTTTTCTAAAAACAAATATTGCCACGAGGCTCAGCATGGTTGGTTATAGTCCATCCGTCTTTAAAACTACCAATAGTCACCGGGTGCTAGTCCGGGGACTCATAGGAAATTCGACACAACGCCCGAACCGCAGAAAATTAAGATCTCACTTTCCTCCCATTCTGAAGAGAACATCCTGGGCTATCAATCTATGAAAAAAAATCAACACATTCCTATGTAAATTTCAAAAAATTCAAGGTACGTTTCCAAAGATCTTCTGAAAAACTCGCTTTAGAAATTTTTTCGAAATTCACTTTTGCTTACTCTCGGCATCTTTGTACAATAATATCTTTCGCTTGCCAGAAAGATGTGTGTATTGCGCACTGGCTTTATGAAATGTGTTTTCTTTCTCCTTTCTGATAAAATATCATTGTGCGCGCACATTATTTTGCCTTTCTCTCCATCCACGTATACATGTTAGGTATGTTTAGTTAGGGATATCTCCTCCAACATTAACAGTGAAGACGCAGATTAAATTCCAACGATTTTCGTCTCTTTACGTTGTTTCTTCTATTTCTTTAACGTTAAATAATAATAAAAGGATGGTAGATTAATCTATGATTGGACAAGATACTCAAGGTTATCAGACAGAGAGGAGACCGATTCTGGTCCTTAGGGATTAAACGATCCCTCTGACCAAACTAAGGATTTTCAAGAGATCGCTTAGATCCCATTTTAAAGAGGACACTTTCCTCTATCTTCTGACATAAAAAAAGGTCAGGTTACTACTTAAAAATTTTGAGTTTTTCACAAGTTTTCCAAAGGTCCTCTAAAAAACCGGTTTTTCAAAAACTTTTTCAAAAGCTTTTCGCTTGTAAAAAGATGCTCTATAGAGTCCTCTTTCCATATGCGAAAATCACAGCTCTCTAGCTTTTACTATTCAAAAGTTATTCAAAAAATACCCATATACCATCCTTTTTTTGGATGGACAATAGTTTCTAGTCTTATTTGCCACATATGGTACTGAAAACACATTAGATTTTCCAAAGTATGCTCGAGAAAAGCTATTAAATTTTCCTGTTCATACTATAAAAATAAGAAGAGTAGGTAGCGTCGATATCTTGTAAGAGATACTATACTTTATACTTATTTGTTATACATCCTTGAAACTGGTGGATGTAATTCAATTGATAAGAACACACAAACATGAGTTGATTACTCAATGTCTAATACTGACTTGTTACTCTCTGATTCCTCATTATCGCCGTCTACTGAAACGTCCTTTGTGTGTGATTTCATACCTCACTGAAGAAAGGCGCTTGCCATTAGGTCCATCTTTTGATTCAACAAGTATTCCTCGGTAATAGTAAAAACCTAAGCGAATATTAGCCTCTATATACAGAGATAGTGTAGTTTCTGCGATGATCATACTACTTTTTCGATCGAAGTCTAAGTAGTAGATCGAATTAGCGATCATTCGTGCAGCTAGCTTATGTACAGATGTTAGTAGATCTAAATGCGTTTTAAAATCGTTGTCAAAAACAATGCAACAATAGTCCATTACTGGTAATATACACGTTTTGTAAATATGAAGACGTATGAACTCTGGCGCACACTTGAAAACTCTGTTTATCGCGCCTAGCATTTGTCTACATCTTTTACGGATATTTTCTAGATGATACTTCCAGATCAAATCTGGTGAAAGATACACGTCTAACAATTTAATGTTTTTATCTAATAAAAGCGGTTTCCCAGAAACATAAAGTGGAGGATATTGATCAGGAAGTTTAAAATTGGAAAATGACATATAAAAACATTTTTCTGTATTAAATCGATCTCATTTTTTACACACCAATCGGACATGATATTTAAGGGCCCCCCCTCCCTCAGAAATGGTAATTTTCGGTCAAAAAATCAGTTTTAAGATACACACATGGAAAGATAGCCTGAAGTGTCTACTTCCAGAATCTGTATTGCTTTTGGTTACAAAACTGGTTTTTCGGGGATTTTGAGCAAGTTTTCCAAGAGCTTCGAAAAAATGGGTCTTTAAATAATGTTTTTTTTCCTGGATACTCATGCAGTTAAAATTTTTTTGAAAACACAGCTTTGTAGAGCAAATGTTTCTGATCAAAATAAGACCTCGCACAACTCTGTATGACCTTTCAT